AAGTTTCTCTCCAAGGTGAAAAATAATGCCTTGTTATGAATAAGTGGCAACCAGGTGAAACCGAGAAAAATGAAATCATAATGTGGCCATAAAGGCTCATATTCTGAAATTTGACGATTGCATGCATGTAGTGTGTAGGGGTGTGTGTAAATGTGTGCAAGACAGAGAGAGAAAGAGACAGGCACAGGATAGAGTGGGAAGCACTGATTATACAACTTGCTCTCACATTCCCAAATTTTAGGTGATTGTCTTCTTCCCAGAACACAAAAGGTGGTAGTCAGAATTGACAATCAATTAGTATTTTCAGATTAAGTATAAACTGAATAACCTCTGTCATTATATACGAGGTCTTTAAAGAGAGGGCAGCTGTAGCCTGCAAGATACAAAATCCTTAGCAGCACCAAAGGCATCAATGGAACAGAGGATTTTCCCTCCATTTTTGGTGGGAACTTGATCACTACCTTCAAGATACAGTTTCAGTGGATTTTTCCGAAGATTGAACCAAGAAAGGCACTAAACTCCTGGACACCCTGACACATTCCTCCCCACTCCTTTCCAACACTCAGCCAAAGGACTTGTCTTTTCTATGCTAAGAGTTTGAAACTTGTTACTTTTATTTAACTCAAGTCTTGAGCAAAAAAAGAAAAAAATATATATATATATGTGTGTGTGTGTGTGTGTGTGTCTGTATATATATATATATATATATATTGTTCTGCATCTAGGCCAGAAAATTCTCTCCTAAGAATTTACAAGCCACCTATGGAGTTTTAAAAAGGCTTCAAATAGAATGGTTACGTGCCAGGGTTTCCTAACACATCCAAAACTGAGGCCTGCAAAAGAGGAAAAAAAAAAAACTGTCAGTGCCTTTTAAACTTTATAATAGATATTGTGAACAGTGGAGGATCTCATCCATTGGCAGATCATCTTCAAGAATAATCTGAGTCAAGTCTGTAAATTGGAGGAAATAATGACAGCAGACTTTTACACTCTTGGATACTGTGCTTCCTGACCTGGCGCTGAAACCTACCCTGCCTTAACAGAGGACTTCCTACATGGTTTGATCTCTTTCATCAGATGCCACCATTGAAAACTAAAGGCACATGGTCCTTCAATTATATTTTCCTTTAAGTGATAGGATTCATACAGGATAAGTTGCTATGGACATGGAAGAATAAAAGTACTCTTCAGAATGGTTCCAGAAACCAGAGAGGAAAGAACCTGCCTTCCTTAGCTGGGACAGGTTCAAGCTTGTACTCACAAGGCAATTGGCTTCATGCATACTACAACAGCCCAGAAAAGGGCTGTCATCAGCAAAGAAAGCTGGAGCCCTCATTCTCATGCTGCTCTGCACATCCACAAGTGGACTGGCTATAAAAACTGTTCTCACCCAGCACACTAGACCTGTCAGCCTCTAAATATGGCAGTCAGAGACCTAACTCTGAGGACATGTCAGGATTTGATGCCTCCTGGATACACCAAGGTAGAAGTATCCTACTTTGCTTGAGCAGGGAGAAGCCTATCTTGTGACCAGTGAACTCCCCTGCCCTCATCCCAAATATGTCCTGCTGAGGGCCTTCTCAGGTAACTCCTCCCATATTGCTTGCTAGCCTCTCCTACCCAGAAAGGTCCCTCACCCAAGAGGCTTTTGCCTATGGTTAGGATGTGGCTTTTCCTTTTTGCCTTGGATGACCTGGATGCTGTTCTGTGGCTCTTTTTTCCCCCAATAGCATCAGCCTTTATGTTCTAATCTTCATTTCCTAGTTAATAAGACTGCCAGTGCCACACATTCCCACAGATGATGTATTATTCTCTTTAGGAAGGTATATTTCTGCAAGGATCATGTCATTTGCAAGGCATATGGCAGAAGGGAGCTATAGTTAAGGGATGGTGAAATAAGTTGCATCAGGTTTTGCTTGGCAAGGACACCAGATGGATGCCTTTATGATGAAGTGGGGCTCCTCCAGCCTTTTCTTTTATGCAGGTCTCCAACAGGTGTTTCCTCTAAGGCATATCTGTTTTCCATAACATTAGAATGAAGAAAGATGTTGTCTGTGACAGCTTGTGTACATAGATCATGCTTTTATTATGATAGAAGAGTGTATAGTGATTGATTTGGTATTCCAAGTCAAACTAAAATGTGCTTGAGAGAAGATCATTTTCCATTTGCCAAAAGGGCATTTAATTATCAGACCAGGAGTCTTCATTTATTATGGGGATGGAGGAGGGGGCAGGAAGAGGGAGAAGGAGGGGAAAAGTAAAAAGGCTGAAGAAAGTGACCAGAAGAAAAATAGTAGCAGTTGTCGTAGATTTGGGTGCCAAGGGTGGGGAGCAGGAAGCCACCTCCCTGCAGGTAACTTGGTTATATTATATCAACATCTGAGGGACAGTGTCTAGGAAGCTACAAGTGGAGAGAAAAATAGATTCTATGAAGGAGTAACATAGCCAGTTCTTCAGATCCTGATAAAAATCAAAAACAGACTCTGGTCTTAGGTGTGTTCCCTGGTGGGTTTCTTTAACCAGCTTGGCCTAAAGCCATCACCACCGTCCTAAGTAGTATCATTAAAAGAGCCTGTGTGGCTCTTAGAATTTGGGGTTGGAGCTGCAGAGTTAAGGATATTTAAACCACCAAAAGGCATGTTAATTTGAAAGAATAAGGTAACCCATTTTGGTCAAACTGACCTTGAGGCTTACATTGCAACATCTTCTAGCCAGGTAAATGACTAGAATCCACTAAGTTTACAGGGAGGTCATCAATGGGGAAGAATACGAAGGATTGCATCTTGGCCTTGGCCAATCTCATTAGCAATAAGCTCTTAATTTTCCAAACTCTTCTCCCATGTCAGCTTCTCTGGGTCCTCTCTCTATCCCATTACTTTAAGTCTGACACTTCTAAGCTGACCATCTTAAGTTCCTTTGTCTGGAAAATTATGACTTAAGATAGTAATTTAGAAACTGACTAGGTTAAAGAGATCAAAATTGCTTGATATTATCTTAGAGTCTGAGTCTTTGGGCCAGGTGTTGAATAACAAACTGTATTAATTCACAGAAAAAAAACAAAAACCCTCACCCTGCAGCACAGAGCACAATATGTTGTATTTCTCCCAGGATGTATAGTAAAATCTCGCAGGAGAGTGCTGTCATAACGTACTGTTTACCACAGCTGAACCTACAGTGTGACACTGTGCAGTATGTCCCAAAAGGTGTTTCAAGGATATTTTTAAATAAATAAATGAATAAGTAGATGGTAAATGTGTGTGGTCAAATAAGTGTAAAACACTGGAACACTAAAATGCAGTGTGAATCTCAAAGAGGGGACATTTTTCTCAAACTTTATTTGACTGCAGAAAGCATTTCCTCACAACTCTCCAGTTACTAATATTCCATGCAACATGTTTTTTAGAATAGGCATTTCTGTCAGAATAGGATGGATGTATGCTGTGGTAACAACCATGAAATCTCAGTGACTTAGCGCAACAAAGGTGTCTTTCTTTTTCACGTTACATATCCAGCACAGGTCACTGAGGCCAAGGCACTCTGCTGTATGTAGGCACTCATGTTCTCAGGCTGGTCATCACTACAGCAGGCAGGAGTGAGCCTGAAGAATCACACGGGAGCTTGTCCCTACATCAGCCATCACTTCTCCCATTTCGTTGGTCAGAACTAGTCATGTGGCCCCATCTGGCTGCCCATCTGCTAAAGAAGTAAAGGAAATTTGGATCTTCTGAGCATCAGTAATCTCAACCTCAGCATTCCATTCAAATGGCAGCTTTACCATTTGTTAGCTCTTTGACTTTTATCCATAAAACAAGGAGTGGTCTTTAAAGTCTGGTAGAGACTGAAATGGTCACTAAGTATTTCAGTCACTTCCCATGTTCCTCAACCCCCATAAAGTTAGCAGGAGGCATGTGACTAGTTCTGGTCAATGGCATGTGATCAAAAATGTGTGTCACTTTGGGCCATGGCAGTTAAAAGCCCAGGCTTGTTTCTCCAGTCCCTTTCTCTTCCCTTGCCTTAATGACTAAGGAGGATGCATTTTCTAGGTGTGTGACTCTAAGATGGTACAGCCTCTGTACCACTCTGAGTGGCTGTGTGGAACACAGACAACTGTTCACCTGAGGAATATATGTAGGGTGGGAACCTGTGTTATGTTCAGCCCCTGGAATTTTGAGGTTGTTTCTACAGATTAAGCCTTGATTCTCCTGATTCAAATAGGTCCAAACTCTAAACTTTCTGTGCTTCTAGAAGGGTTTCCTCTCTTCTCTATTGAGCAAATATGCATTCCTTCAGATACAATGGGATTTTTCCCAAAGATTATCTAACCCTTTGGGTGGTTGAATATATTACATGACTAGCATTGTGCCCAACTGCAGTGTGGGGTGATCACATGGAGGGCTTTGCCAAGACTTAAACCAAGATTAGAGCAGAGTTTAGTTAAATGCAGGCCAGTGATGGAAGCTGTAAAGAATACAAAACACGTATAATAAGGAAGGATGTTTCAACAGGAACTCATACAAAACAATATGGAAAGGAGAGGGGAGGAAAACAGGCCAAGGAGAGAGATACCATTCATGACTCAATCTCACAGCCTTTTAAATTCTATCTTCAGGTGCCCAAAACACCTCCCATGATTTCTCCCAAACAATAGTAGCCTCACCACAGTAGCAAAATCAAGAGCAGAAATAACTACCTTCAAGGCACATATAATGTAAGGTAAAAGGAGAGCTTGATGTATCTGCTAAATGCACACACATGCATGTGCACACGTGTGCATGCACGCACGCACACACACAAAGTGCTTAGTATGTTTTCAGCTGGATACGCTCAGCTCTTGGTGTCCTTCAGACATGAATCTTTATTCTGGAGTCTCACAGACCCAAGGTTATTATCTTTGTGTTATTCTGTGCTTTGGGCTCAAGGTTCTGTTGAGTTTGACATCTTAGCTTTGTCACACCAGTGTCACAAATGTTCTCAGCTAACTCTCCTTTCTCCCTACTTAGGACTTTTCTGTATGAAACAGTACAAGATTCTGACCAGCTTGATAGCAGTGGTATGTTTCACTGGTGCAGAGCAATCCCTTTGGACAGTGTGATTCTGGTAGGTGATCTTGCACCAAATTTCAAATAAGATAAACCTACACCTAGGGTAAATAACGTCCTTACACTAGTTATAAGCACCTGCCATTTCTCTTTGTGAATTTCAAAGGAAAAACACATTCATCACCAGCCTGAATGGTATGCAGGGTAACAGATATGACATTTGACAAAGACCATGTAGGTAATATGCTGGGATTTGAAACAATTAGATCAGATTGTTCAAGTCCTTCTTCCCCCCCACCTTTCACAGTTTAGCTGAGTCAGTTATTTAGAATAATGTTCTCCTGACACATTGCTGTTTTGCTAGTAAATCTAATTAATTTAAATGCACCAGGGAAACTATTTACAAGAACTCTAAAACCTTTCCTTTTTTTAAAGAAATATTTTCCTAATTATTGGTTTAAAGTTTGGATTTTCTGTAGTGGTTTCTCTTAGAGCTGGCTGTACTTATACCTAACGCATTAGTCAAGAATGGATCTCCTAGATGCATAACATGGGTGAATCCTAATAGATATTAGAATCCTGTCTCTGTCTCTGTTCTCTCAAGGAAAATAACTAACTCAATTTACTGAAATGCCAGCAACCAAGATGTAAAAAGTCTATATCCTAATCCAGGCTCTGACACCTGCTTTCCAGGTCCACATCTATTCTCATTTTCCAGAGTTAGCAACTCAAGCATGATCTCAGTGGTTTACTTTGCAAGCAGTAGTTGGTAAATATAATCAAAGTGATTGTTTGTTGTATGAACCCTATATAATTTTTTCAACTATGACTAATTGATAATTATATCTTTTTCTTGCTTTCCCAAAGTAGTTCAGTTCACTTTTTTTCCTGTTACACACACACACTCACACACACACAATCCTTGTGGCTTGGTACCAATGTCCTGACAGAATATGTTCCAATTTTTGTAAAAGCATGATCAATCATTTGATCAGAAGCATAAAATTGTCAGAACTGTCATATCAACTAGAAAACTATTAGGGTTGCTGCTGAAATTCACCACTTTAGCAATTATGTCTTCTTCTAAACTAAGCAAAATAAACTCCATTGAGCAGGAAGCTAAACATGTTTTCAGTGGGAGGGAAATTGTTAGAAAGGTTGAGAAGTTGGTTGCAGATGGAGGCATCCAAGAGACGAAGAAATTGAAATAGCAGATGTTTTATTATACCATATTTTTTGAGCACACAGACAGGTTGCTATGACAGATATCTCCTTTATGATACTTGATATGGAATATAGTTTAGAACACCAACTGAGTCTTTTGATAAGTTTAGAAGGGCTTCTAGTTTAAGAAATTCTAAAGGCTTTGAAACGTGTGACCATAGAGGAGAAATGTCCATATTGCAGAATTCAGGGAGGCTTTGAATTTGGTTTCATTTGCAAAAGGGTCAAATGGAAGTGGTCGATTTAAGTTACTTTGAACAAATAGTGCATCCTCCCCTTCCTCCAAAAGTCACCATCTTTCTCAATTGGGAGACAGTTTTGTGCCACAGTTTCTTGGAGAAATTGCCTCTCTGGCTGTGCCCATTAATGCACTCTGCCATGTATCTTGTTTCTAATTGTTTAGTTCTACTCAGAAGAGCAATCATTGGACTTCAGGCATGTTACATTAAATACCGTTAGAGGCTTCATTATTCAAGTTAAAACTAATCGGATTAGCTAGAGACAATTATTTAATAGATTTGGTTAAGATTCACATCACTCTCCAGGAAGGCTCTCCAGACAAGTAGCTTTATTTCCCCTCACAGGGCAATTCCCTTTGAAAAGAGAGTATTTTCTAGTATATGCTAATTTGACAAACTAATTGTGGAGATGTCAGATGTTACTTATTTATCTTGTTAGGTTTTATCACCCCCTGTTTCACAGAAGCTTGTCATTTAACCCAGCTAAATATGGGCATAGGGCAGGATGATATATCCATTTGAAGTATTCTGAGTCTTCATGTGCTGAGGAATATAGACCACACTCATGTATGAAGTGCTTCTATATGCATTTAACCTGTTCTCTACCAGCTTCCAAGAGTCCTCCTCTGAAACTCTAGGAACTCAAAAGATTCAGAGTTGATTAACAGGTATTGAACAAGAGCTAATGAGTTGAGCACTGTACTTCTACTATATTATTTCATTTCCACAACAGAATTAGCTTTTATTTTTTAAACCATTCAAACTTAAAGAAATTGAGTGTCAGAGGGTAAACTAGCTTGTCATACAACAGAATACAGAATCAAGTCTTCCTCCAGATCCAGTGCTCTTTCTAGCCCATTCCAGAGCCACAAGAGAAGACACTGACTCATTCCCTGAAAGAAATCAAAAGCTTGAAATGAATTTCCTACAGGAATATCATGTCTCTCTTTTTTTTAAGTTACAATTATCACTCTTAAAAGTCTCTGTGAATGTGGGGAAAAGCTCATTTAAATATTTTTCATGTATATGATTATTTGGAGGTACTACTTGGAGATACAGAGAAAATGTTAACAATCAGTGATGCTGATGGTAGTATGTGACATGTTTAAATATTTGGGTTCAAATGGAATTTTTGTGACCTTTTCATTTCTTTTCTGCACTTTGCATAATGAATTTCCTCAACTCTGGAAAGCATCTGTTGAGTGAGTTTGGTATATTAGGTTGAACCATATGAAGTTACCAATACTCAACCATTTTTGACCCATAAAAAGGCAATTTCGTATGTTCCAAACTAATAGGTATTTTCATATGTATGAAAATCCACCAAAAACTGCAACATGTTGTACAACTTTATGCGATTTTCAGGGCTCAGTAGAAGACATACATTTAGCAATGGAATTTGTAATGTTTTAGTTTTTCATTGAATCTTACTATAGTGCATACAAGGCCAAAACCACATAATGAAAATAAAAGATGTGCTCCCCGTTTGGTTCTATGGTTTCACACCTTGAGGAATGACACTAATCTGAGTTTTAATTGAGGCACTCCATGCTAATAAAAGACTTTAAAAAGTGGAATAAGAAGGAACTCCACAAAAAGATAAAAAGTATAGTTGCCTCATGGTAGGTAAATTCCATTTTATGAGCAATTTGCAGAATTTCATTATCCTTATGAAAGTCCTCCTATGGATGTACCTGGAAGATTTGGGATGAGGGGACAGAGCCCTCTTTGAGAGACTCTCAGCTTGTTTCTAAAACTGACCAGACTCTGGCATGCTTATGCTTAGAAACGAATGGACAAGTCAAAACATGAGTTTCGGAACCATGTAGTAGCATGTGTCTTTGGAGATGCTACCTCAACATTGATGGGGCTTCGGAATTTTGTAATGCCCTTGAGAGCTAGCAGCTATACACGGCCGGAGCTGAAAGACATTGTGTTCATTGGGTCTCTGGATTACCTGAAGAGAGAATGGCTATTTCTCCGGAATTTTCCCCGGATATACATTCTACCTGTAAGTGTCACATTAGAGATAGTGAATATTTATAATGATGGCAACACTAATGGTACTAGCATTAATGAATAATAAAATAGTAGCTTGTAGTTGTATAGTGCTTACAGGTAATAAAAACTATTCTAAGCATTTTACATATATTAACTCATTTAACCCTCAAAATAATCCTATGGGGTAGATTTTAAAGGTGTTGGACTTTGGGCATGGAGAGAGTAGGTAACCTGTCCAAGTTTACACAGCAGGTAAGTAGCAGAACAAAGATTTAAATCTAGACATTGTGGCTCCAGAGTTTATGCCCAGGAGCCACTACATTTTATGTTTTATGTTTATAATCATATTTTATGGTCTTTATATAAATAAGAGTTTCTCTACATTTCTGAATCTGATTCTAACTTAATGTCCACAGCTAAACTGATACTAGCTAGCCTTTGTGCTCTGACTTTCTCATCTTTTCTGAAGACGCATCTTTTATGGAATACATAATGCCACATAGTCCTTGATAGATGTATGAGAAAGAGGAATTAGGTTTACATTTCTGAGGAATGGATCCATTATGCATATGTGGCATTGTAGTTGTAATTGTATTTGCTCTGAACATTTATACACCGGTATGCAATTGTATGCCACTATTTCCCTGGATTAAAAAAAAAAAAAAGTATGTGCAGTGTGAAATGCACCCAAACCATGTAATTTTTTCATGAAATAATGCTGACAATATATAATATTGTTCAAATTTCAAAAATGGTTCTCTCAAGGAACAAATTTCATTTGCTTCTTTAAAAAGCTACCATAAAGTTCTCTGCACTGTACCCTTACTTTAGGCCATAGAAAGGAAAAAAGGAAAAGGACCACAAATCTCTAGATCCAGCTAGTGTTAGGAATTACTGGTATTCATATCTAAGCTACCTGAAGACAGAACCAGATCTATCCCTATTTCTCCACCAAATTGGGAAAGAAGCAACCACCACTATGCTAGTTAATCCAGAGGGTACAGAAAAGGTCAGCTGCAAGCAAAACTGTAGGGATGCAAAATTTGCCTTTAGATCCATTACTTCCCCTTTCTCTGAATGTTTCTTGTTACCCCTACTGTTATCCCTACTTTACTTCTCCCACTTGAATCATCTGAATGGATGTAGGCTCCTCCCTCTTTACCCTCCTTTGGCTCATCCAGACTTGCTCTCAGGTAGGGTCTGTGAAATTCAGTCTCACAAAGATATTAATGATCAATGAGGCTAAATGTGTTCAGATATCAGGTAACTAAGTCTTAAAACCAATTCAGTGAAGGCTGGAGAGGCTTTGGCTCAAAAATTGCATCCCACAAGAGGCATCACCATGAGCCATTATATAAAATCCCTCCACCTGAGAAGTCCCTCCTCTATTGGGTTTTCTCTCATTAGGGATCTGCACTCTTTCCTGAAGACCTCCATGCAGCCAACATAGAGGAATGTTCCATGTGTGCTGTCTTATCCTCCTCATCCAAGGCATCAAGCAACCCAGCTCTGGTAGACACAGAGACCATCATGGCCACCCTCAACATTGGATCACTGAGGATTAGCTGCTCTGCCCAGACACCTGAAGAATCACGTAAGAACAACTCCTTGATAGGAGGAGTTTAGAGAGAATGGAATAAGAAAAGAGAATTAACTCATCTCTGAAGTACTTTGATCATGGGGAGGAGGAGAGGTTGGATCAGTTATCGTCGAAGACCTCTTCCAACTCTGAGAATTCTGTAATAGAAGTAGCAGAGAGTTAAGTCCTTGGTAATCCTAAGTCAAATGAAAAATAATTTCCATCTCCTAAATGGAATGCATGTAACAGTTTTCCCACTGAATTTTAAGTGCTGTTTTTGTTATTAATTAAATATTAGATAAGATAGAAATTGGCATATTATTATAATTAATAATATTTAGTAGTAGTAGTATCAATTCTCATTATATCTTAGAGATGCTCCACTACTATTCCTAGTTTAATGTTTGAGAGAATGAAGTATAATTCTCTCTTACTCTTTTTTTTATTTTATTTTTTTATGTTATGTTAATCACCATACATTACATCATTAGTTTTTGATGTAGTGTTCCATGATTCATTGTTTGCATATAACACCCAGTGCTCCATTCAATACGTGCCCTCTTCAATACACATCACCAGACTAACACTTTCCCCCATCCCCTCCCCTCTAGGACCCTCAGTTTCTTTCTCAGAGTCCGTAGTCTCTCATGGTTCGTCTCCCCCTCTGACTTCCCTCCTTATTTTACCCTTCCTACTATCTTCTCTCTCTCTCTTTTTTTAACATATAATGTATTATTTGTTTCAGAGGTACAGGTGATTAATCAGTCTTACACAATTCACAGTGCTAACCATAGTATATACCCTCCCCAATGTCTATCACCCAGCCACCCCATCCACTCCAGCAACCCTCAGTTTGTTTCCTGAGATTAAGAATTCCTCATATCAGTGACATCATATGATACATGTCTTTCTCTGATTGACGTGTTTCACTCATTATATACTCTAGTTCAATCCATGTCGTTGCAAATGGCAAGATTTTGGTTTTTTCTGATGGCTGCATAATATTCCATTGTATATATATGCCACATCTTCTTTATCCATTCATCTGTTGATGGACATCTTGGCTCTTTCCATAGTTTGGCTATTGTGGACATTGCTGCTATAAACATTGGGGTGCACGTACCCCTTCGGATCACTACATTTCTGTCTTTGGGTTAAATACCCAGTAGAGCGATTACTGGGTCATAGGGTAGCTCTATTTTGAGGAACCTGCATACTGTTTTCCAGAGTGGCTACGCAAGCTTGCATTCCCACCAATGGTGTAGGAGGATTCCCCTTTCTCCGCATCCCCGCCAACATCTGTCGTTTCCTGACGTGTTAATTTTTGCCATTCTGACTGGTGTGAGGGGGTATCTCATTGAGGTTTTGATTTGGATTTCCCTGATGCTGAGTATGTGGAGCACTTTTTCATGTGTCTGTTGGCCGTTTGGATGTCTTCTTTGGAAAAATATCTGTTCATGTCTTCTGCCCATTTCATGATTGGATCATTTGTTCTTTGGGTATTGAGTGGAGAAGTTCTTTATAGATTTTGGATACTAGCCCTTTATCTGATATGTCATTTGCAAATATCTTCTCCCATTCTGTCAGTTGTCGTTTGGTTTTGTTGACTGTTTCCTTTGCTGTGCAAAAGTTTTTTTTATCTTGATGAAGTCCCGATATTTCATTTTTACCCTTGTTTCCCTTTCCTTTGGCTATGTTTCCAGGAAGAAGTTGCTGCGACTGAGGTCGAAGAGGTTGCTGCCTATGTTCTCCTTTAGGATTTTGATGGACTCCTGTCTCACATTAGGTCTTTCATCCATTTTGAGTTTATTTTTGTGTGTAGTGTAAGGAAATGGTCCAGTTATATCCTTCTGCATGTGGCTGTCCAATTTTCCCAACACCATATGTTGAAGAGATTATCTTTTTTCCATTGGACATTCTTTCCTGCTTTGTCAAAGATTAGTTGACCATAGAGTTGAGGGTCCATTTCTGGACTCTATTCTGTTCCATTGATCTATGTGTCTGTTTTTATGCCAGTACCATACTGTCTTGATGATTACAGCTTTGTAATAGGGCTTGAAGTCAGGAATTGTGATGCCAGCAGCTTTGCTTTTCTTTTTCAACATTCTTCTGGCTATTCAGGGTCTTTTCTGGTTCCATACAAATTTTAGGATTATTTGGTCCATTTCATAGAAAAAACCTGAGGGTATTTTGATAGGGATTGCAATAAATGTGTAGATTGCTCTAGGTAGCATTGACATCTTCACAATATTTGTTCTTCCAATCCATGAGCCTGGAATGTTTTTCCATTTCTTTGTGTCTTCCTCAATTTCTTCCATGAGTATTTTATAGTTTTCTGAGTACAGATTCTTTGCCTCCTTGGTTAGATTTATTCCTAGGTATCTTATGGGTTTGCGTGCAGATGTAAATGGGATTGACTCCTTAATTTCTCTTTCTTCTGTCTTATTGTGGGTGTATAGGAATGCCACTGATTTCTGTGCATTGATTTTCTATCCTGCCACTTTACTGAATTCCTGTATGAGTTCTAGCAGTTTTGGGGTGGAGTCTTTTGGTTTTCCACATAAACCATCATATCATCTGCAAAGAGTGAGAGTTTGACTTCTTCTTTGCTGATTTGGATGCCTTTTATTTCTTTTTGTTGTCTGATTGCCGTGGCTAGGACTTCTAGTACTATGTTGAATAGCAGTGGTGATAGTGGACATCCCTGCTGTGTTCCTGACCTTAGGGGAAAGCTTTCAGTTTTCCCCATTGAGAATGATATTCTCTGTGGGTTTTCATAGATGGCTTTTATGATCTTGAGGTATGTACCCTCTATCCCTATACTCTGAAGAGTTTTGATCACGAAAGGATGCTGTACTTTGTCAAATGCTTTTTCTACATCTATTGAGAGGATCATGTGGTTCTTGTTCTTTCTTTTATTAATGTATTGTATCACATTGATTGATTTGCGGCTGTTGAACCAACCTTGCAGCCCAGGGATAAATCCCATTTGGTCGTGGTGAATAATCCTTTTAATGTACTGTTGGATCCTATTGGCTAGTACTTTGGTGAGATTTTTGCATCCATGTTCATCAGGGATATTGGTCTGTAATTCTCCTTTTTGGTGGGGTCTTTGTCTGATTTGGGGATCAAGTTAATGCTGGCCTCATAAAATGTGTTTGGAAGTTTTCCTTCCATTTCTATTTTTTGAAACAGTTTCAGAAGAATAGGTATTAATTCTTCTTTAAATGTTTGGTAGAACTCCCCTGGGAAGCTGGCTGGCCCTGTGCTTTTGTTTGTTCGGAGATTTTTGATTACTGCTTCAATTTCCTTAGTAGTTTTCTATTTCTTCCTGGTTCAGTTTTGGTCGTTGGTACATCTCTAGGAATGCATCCATTTCTTCCAGATTATCTAATTTGCTGGCATATAGTTGCTCATAATATGTTCTTATAATTGTTTGCATTTCTTTGGTGTTGGTCGTGATCTCTCTTTCATTCATGATTTTATTTATTTGTGTCATTTCTCTTTTCTTTTTGATAAGTCTGGCCAGAGGTTTATCAATCTTATTCTTTCAAAGAACCAACTCCTAGTTTCGTTGATCTGTTCTTTTGGTTTCTATTTCATTGATTTCTGCTCTGATCTTTATTATTTCTCATCTCCTGCTGGGTTTAGGCTTTATTTGCTGTTCTTTCTCCACCTCCTTTAGGTGTAGGGTTAGGTTGTGTATTTGAGACCTTTCTTGTTTCTTAAGAAAGGCTTGTATTGCTAAATACTTTCCTCCTAGGACCCCCTTTGCTGCATCCCAGAGATTTTGCACTTATGTTTTCATTTTCATTTGTTTCTATGAATTATTTTAATTCGTCTTTAATTTCCTGGTTGACCCATTCATTCTTTAGTAGGATGCTCTTTAGCCTCCATGTATTTCAGTTCTTTCTGACTTTCCTCTTGTGATTGAGTTCTAGTTTCAAAGCACTGTGGTCTGAAAATATTCAGGGAATGATTCCAATCTTTTGGTACCGGTTGAGACCTGATTTGTGACCTAGGATGTGATCTATTCTGGAGAATGTTCCATGGACACTAGAGAAGAATGTGTATTCTGTTGCTTTAGGATGGAATGTTCTGAATATATCTATGAAGTCCACTTGGTCCAGTGTGTCATTTAAAGTCTTTATTTCCTTGTTGATCTTTTGTTTGGATGATCTGTCCATTTCAGTGTTAAAGTCCCCCACTACTATTGTATTGTTGTCAATGTGTTTCTTTGCTTTTGTTATTAATTGCCTTATATAATCGGCTGCTCCCATGTTAGGGGCATAGATATTTACAATTGTTAGATCTCCTTGTTGGATAGACCCTTTAAGTAGGATATAGTGTCCTTCCTCATGTCTTATTATAGTCTTTGGTTTAAAATCTAATTTGTCTGACATAAGGATTGCCACCCCAGCTTTCTTTTGGTGTCCATTAGCATGGTAAATGGTTTTCCACCCCCTCACTTTCAATCTGGGGGTGTCTTTGGGTCTAAAATGAGTCTCTTGCAGACAGATATCAATGGGTCTTGTTTTTTAATCCAGTCTGATAGCCTGTGTCTTTTGATTGGAGCATTTAGCCCATTTACATTCAGGGTAACTATTGAAAGATATGAATTTAGTGCCATTGTATTGCTGGTAAGGTTACTGTTACTGTATATTGTCTGTGTTCCTTTCTGGTCTATGTTGCTTTTAGGCTCTCTCTTTACTTAGAGGACCCCTTTCAATATTTCTTGTAGGGCTGGTTTCATGTATCCAAATTCCTTTAGTTTTTGTTTGTCCTGGAAGTTTTTTATTTGTCCTTCTATTTTCAGTGACAGCCCAGCTGGATAGAGTATTCTTGGCTGCATATTTTTCTCATTTAGTGCTCTGAATATATCATGCCAGTCCTTTCTGGCTTGCCAGGTCTCTGTGGATAGGTCTGTTGCCAATCTAATGTTTCTAACATTGTAGGTTACAGACCTCTTGTCCCGAGCTACTTTCAGGATTTT